TAGATTATTGGTATTTTGTATTTGTTTCATTGTTTAAAATTTAGATGTTATGTACAGATAAATCATAAGAGGTATTTGCAATATTAAAATACATATACGAGTACACAGAATACAGAAAAGTAGAGATTTTTTTTGCGCCTGTCCCAGTCAGGAACCTCTAGCCCTTATCAATCTGGTGTGTTTTTTTTTTAATTCCGGGTCCGGGATTTTCTCGCTGCGTTGAAGACTTATTGGTGGCCTAGGGCTGTTTTCTGCTCTTTGATCGGGTTGTTTGACACATTCTCCGTTTCCATTCTCAATTATTTGTTGAAGTAAAACATTAGTCTTAAACTAGATTATTTTATCGCCTAGCATGAAGGTGTATCAAGAAGTTAGAAAATCTAATTTGTTAAAGTACACCATTGATTTATGATCTCTGTGAAGTGTACAAAAGGAAAATCGAAAAAAACAAAAACAAAAACAAAAAAACAAAAACAAATCAAAGTACTGAAGTACTGAACATCGGATGACCGCAGGTTCTTGTGTATGGTCAAAAGCACATGTCACAGAAACAGATCACATCTCTATACCTGAAACTGAGGTTAATTTACAGAGATTTTTTTTTCTGATACAAGTTCCTGCTTGGATGATGAATAAATGACAGGAAATTCAACCTCACCGTAATAACTATTATATTGTAGTGATACAAATCAATAATAATATAATAATAGTTCCAGAGAATACACTGGTTTGTTGTTATATATTATATTAATATTACAGTTGCATGTATATATAATTTTCATCTTTTTGTATATCATTCAATTCTACTATTATTATAGTGCAGTGCAAGTGCATGGTGGACACTCTTCTGTAAAAAAAATCAAAGCCTTAAAGGCTGTAAAAGCAATTGCTGCCATGTTAATGCTTTGTGGACTTTTATTTTTCATCCATATATATAAGAATTAAACCTGACAGGACAGGAGTGTTGACTAGTGAGAAGCAAGACGGTTTTAACTTTATATCAATAAAAGACTTTAGCAGGAAATCATTTTAAATATGTTTTATATTTCACAAGGAGACAACAAGTTTACCAGGCTAAAGTTGGGGTTAATTATACATGTGCTGAAGCATATAACTAAAAAAAAAATCAATATGGATTGTCCCCTGGTAGTGTTTGTAACTGGGCAATAATTTCCTTTATTGATTTAATTTTAACAATTTTCATAATTAATTTAAATTAACCATTCAGCTAAAACATTTCAACTTTCCAGACGCAAATGTTGAAAAACGGGACAGAAATAAAATATCTTACAAGACATAAACATGTAAAAAATAAATATATATTTCAGCTTACTAAAAATATTTTCATAATGTTACTTTGACATCATTTCTTAAAACTAAGTCCCAAACATAATTTCTCAGTTGATATGTGTAATCCTCATGCGATACAAGATAACTATAATTCTTATGCAATCCCGAAAAGGGGGGTCATCACAAACAAACATGACATTAAATTGTCATTATACGAACTAGAACAAACAGCTCTATGTTGCTTTGATATTTATCAATTTTCAGGAAACATGTGAAATAAATTTCAGGTCCATTTCATTATAGTGCCTAACAAGATTGTGTGAGGTAGACGAAATTGACCTTAAAACGATCGTATTGTCTTTTGATGTCCAAAAATAGGCAGATCGGACATATAAGAACTTTATCTAATGACTACATAAATTTGGGATTTATTATTATTATAAAATTCTAATGAAACTGAAAATTGTATTTTTTTGTTAGGATAAACAACAATTTTACCTGGCGTAGCCGTGCATAAAATGTTTTTCTGCGAAAAATGGCGTATTTAATGGAATAGAACGTTAATACAGTAAACTTTCTCTTTTTTCTCCGCAATAGGCTATCAAAAATAATTTATCTAATGTGTATGTGGAAAATTATGTGAAAAGATAAAAAGTGGCAATTGTTACCTTTCATACCTTAAGTTTCATTCATATGCCGCTATTATTGTTGTTGTTACCAATTATGTAAATCAATTGTATCTGATTTTATGCCCTTTATGGGCCCTGTAATTTGGAAAATACAAAAAAAATCTATTCATTGATAAAACGTAATATGGACTGGTCCGGTGTCCAGTTTGCAGGTCATTTAATTTACTGTACACATTCATGCACGCTCTGATTTAATCAATATACTCGTACGAAAAAGCATGAACAGTTTGAAGGTAATCTAATAATAACTTAATCCAATCAAATTGCATAAGATTCAATAACAATGTCCAGTCCACATCATAATGAGTAATAGGGGTAAACTTGGTACCGTAGGGAGAAAATGACAGATATTTCAAGTTAATATTTATGCAATAACGAATTAAAATTTGTCAACCAAAAGTTTTGCTACAATTTCAAAAACATGTCGTTCTGTATGGGTATAGTTTTCGGATCTTTCATTAGCGTATTTAAGGCTATAAAAAGTTTGGGCTTCAAAAGTTCACACAATTATTGACTTTATACAGAAAATTCGTCCTTGTAAAACATTTAATAGTTCACAAATGATACGCGATTTTAAAGTAAAATTATTTCTTAAAACACTGCAAAAAATGTCATTCATATTGATAAAGTGGTATCGTCATAAAGTGCGTTGAAATGAACAGTGGTATAGCAAACATCGAATTCCCTCACAAAAGGTTATAACACACTATAGTAAGGGGAGTCAGTTAAGTTTGTTTATTTTTAGATTACAGGTAATCATTTGACATTACGTATACAACCTGTGTGACCTGTGTAGTGATTTTGATTTTACGATAAATTCATGAATGAATGAACGATAATTTTATGAATGAACATGAGCACCTGACCTCTTTCTTAAACACCAATTAAACATATAAAACCGTATTTAAAAGGAGATAATTCAGTCAAATTTTCAGTACTAAATCAACAACTGAAATGATTCCACTTTTTGATGAAACATCGTACGAACGGAAAACGGAATCGCAGGTATAAAAATGCACTTTTTTCCCTTGTAATGACCGCGGATCTATAATTTTTATAGATCGGTTGAAATCCCAAAACTAATTTGCATAATGGAAATTTAGGCGATAGCAATACATCGGAATGACCTGAAGGTCATCCTTTGTAAAAAACAAAACAAAACGGGTTGAATACTATGATAGAGACGGTAATAAGAAAAACCTTTGACCGAATACCTTGTTGGATTGGGATTTTGGTAATTAACATCCTAAAATAGAATTGAAAACAATTTCACCAAAACAAGATTGACATGAATATTTTGTCTCAAAGAATGCGGAACAAAATTGTGTACAAATGTGAAAACAAATTTTGGCGTAAAAAAATAAGACGTCCTACCACTGTTGAAAATGAATATTCCGTCCGTAAAAAAATCATCCTGCCGCTCCCTCCCTTTCCCAGCAAAAATATTCAATAAACATCACCTTTAAGGATCATCTGCACCAAAAGCTCTCTAGCTGTGGATTTACAATTCTTTGACTTTGAGAAGAGGAAGTATCGCATAGTTTTAGATATAAATATCTGAAACAAAAACTATCTTATTAACAATGAAAAATTAATGTAGTCTTGATAAATAGGTTTTTACTACAGTAAGTATAGAATACATTTTGTGTGGAACAATTACCATTTTCAATACAAACTATAATCTAGAACACATCCATTCATGCTGTATTATATGCGGTGTTTAAGATACACACTCTACATAAAAGTAGACTAACTTACTGACGGAAAATCTCACATCTTTAAGATAAAAAACACTTAAGATAAACAACATTAAAGTATTGGAATGGCCATGCTCACCAATGCGAAAATATTTTCAATCTTGCAGGTTGTCAGTTCTCTGTCATCACACGCTCTAAATCATTTATGCCTATTAATACCGTCTGTGCAGGTAGATAATGGTTTTATAGCAGGTTATGTAAATCTACAAATTAAGCTTTATAAGGTCAAATACTATAAGAATATCTTTCATTGGCACTTTTCAAGGGAAATTTCAGTTTCCAAATTAATACAATTTTGTAAACATGCAACATGTGCAAGTTCAGATAAAATGTGATAGACATGATTAAGAATCGATATATCATTTGTTATGGGTACAACATTTGATACTGTCAAAATATTTTGCAAATTTGATTACCTGTCAAAAGATGATTTATAGATCATTACCCTTCGGCATCCACCCATTATACTTGCCGAAAAGTTTTGTGTCTTTAATTGTTGCATTTATGCTTATGTATGGTTATCATTGACATTTTTTCCCTGTTCTAAAACCTTTTTTTTTTGTTCAAGTTGTTATGTGTTATATTGTCTGTATTTTATTTTATTATAATTTCACTGGCACTTGTCTCGGAGAAAAATACTCTGTGTACTTACACTTTAATCAACGGTATATATGTATATTTGTAAGAGACAAGTGTGTGTGCTTAATTTTCAGAATTGTCAGACTTTTGACCTCATAGTTATTGCATTTAAATATGATGAAAAAAGACAGAAAAAAAATAATCTTTTAAAAATATGCTTCCATCTGAAGGCGTCGGATATTTTTTTTTTAAATATAGTACTTGTTTGAATCAAGAAAGCCATTATTCTTTACGAAGTTGTTAGATAAAATATGATATATTGTTGGAATGAGAATAGAAACATTGTTTTAAATCGTTCTTTTGTTAAAAGTGCCAATTTAAATGCGTAATTAAATGACAAAAACGATAAAATTGTCGTTACAATCTGATATCTCTTATGTTTTGTGTTTAAATTGCTTAATGTATATTTATAATATACAAATTCCAACACGTTATTGAATGGAAGGTTCCTCTTCCCCAAAAACTCTCTGTGGATTTACAAATAGTTTATTTTGAGATCAGGAAGTTTCGCATGACACCAATAGGAATTTTTTAGAATACAGTATAATATTCTTAGTAATTGATTATATTCTGATGAAATAAGGCATACATTCACCATATTAAAATTTCCATAATATTAGGCAAAATAGCAATATATAAAGCCAGACTGTCTAACATGCGACAGAACAAACAAATGTCTGTCAAAGTGAATTTGGTAGAGTTTATTTGAATATATTTTGGAATGAGATGGAAAAGAGCGTGCTAAATATCATTCTCTTCTTAATTATTTTTGGTGAGTACATTATTGCACTTGACTGTTTGTAGAAATAGCCGTGACACTTAAAAGTAAAAAGTAACAATTTTTCGCATCCTAAGCAACGAAAGGGGCATTTCTCTCACATTATTATATTTTTTTACTATTGTAGAAATAGCCGTGACACTTAAAAGTAAAAAGTAACAATTTTTCGCATCCTAAGCAACGAAAGGGGCATTTCTCTCACATTATTATATTTTTTTACTATTATAAATTGATTATAGATTATACCATTTCAATATTTGGTTGTTATTATGTAAATCGTCAAAACATTTTAAAAAGTACATTATTTCTATAAATTTATAGGTATGTTTTATGACAGCAAGGCAGCTCGTGTCAATACCCTTAAAGAACATAATAATGGTACTCAAAGTATGAATGAGACGACAACAATTAGACCGACATTTAGCCCAAAAGGCGGTAAGCATCTTTCTTCTTTTGTTTTCTTTTTTTTTAAATTCAAAATAAACTTTTTCTATAAGTTTTACCGGATATCGAACAAGTGGAAGAAAACATTTTTTTATAAATGCATTTGAAGCAAATTTTTCTATATCTGATACTTAGTATATACACATATTTCGAAAAGATGGGTGGATCGATGGCGTGATTGCATAACTATGTTATTTATCATAAACAAAAGTGAATTTTCTGTTTGTGCGTTTGAGTATTCCACACTATTAGGATCGTCAGCACTATGTGTTCGTGAGTTTGTTTTAAATTGGCTTTCATCAGTTCATATACTCTTGTATTTGCATTTCAATAACCTACTATTAGTTAATTTGATTCTTTTAATTGGGTTTTGAAATTCTAGATTCTTTCCGATAAAAGACATATTCGACAAATGACAGGGGATATTTTGGTCACGCAAGTACAAAACAATGACTACCTCAACAAGTTTATAATACCGTGTATCCTACTTGAGCTGCAAAGCTGAACTTTGATGGATTTGGCTGTTATTTTCATGTCATTTCTAGCCATCGGATCTGAAACATCCTTGGCTTTCAAATATTCGGCTGTTATCTTTTCTGAAGATTGTAAATCCAGAAAAGCGCTTCGCGCGCATGAAATTTATAAAGTGTTGTTGTTTTTGTGTTGTTTTTTTTTATGATTAGACATCTCACAGTAGTGGAATGGTCATCTAACAACACGACTTCACTAATTTCATACACCCACCTGTTATGTTCAGTGTCTTATCTTAAAACTTAACCACATAAGCCTTAAATGAAAACACGGGTTTTCAGAACTACAGATGTACAAGACAATTACTTACAGAAATAACACAGACTTTGAATAACAAAGAAAATCAGACTACAAAACAATAAAACACCGAGTTAAAAGAAACACGAAACACCAAAGAAGAACACAGATGGTAAAAAAATGTAAGCAGTTTAGCTCCACCGGTGGAACTCGTTGTAATACTCATTACAAGTAATAGTTTAGTAAGTCACATTTTATGATTTCATAATAATTGAGACTAGATTGCGGCTACGACAAATAAAAAGTAGTGGCGAAAGATACCAAAGGGACATTCACACTTATAAGTCGAAAATAAACTGAAAACGCAATGGAGAAAAGGATAAGACAAACAACAATATTCAAAACACAACATACTCAGAAAACTTAAGACTGAGGAACACGAACCCCACCAAAAGAGTCGGTGCTGATCTCAGATGCTCCGAAAGGATCAGCAGATCCTGTTCCACATGTGAAACCCATCGTGTTGCTCAAGTAAGTACACCCACGGTAATGAGTCACATTCGGACAAAAGGAGGACGGGTTTGTTCAGACGATAAGAATATATCCGTCGTCATATGTGAAACAGATATTCCATAACGGTCAACCAACCATGTCGTCAACGTTTGGCGATGAATATGCACTGTGTAGCATTCACTTGTGTCACATTGTTGATTCAACATTTGCTCCTCCAACCGAGGTTCTTCCATCCTATAATGTTGGGCAATGACTTATCACTGCTCAATATAAATTATATTTCCTTCATATTAGATAATTTTTTCTGTAGAAAATAAATGTTACGTTAAACTTGTAGTTTAAAAGACTTAGCTACCATGTATCAGTTAGAGACAGACAACCACATATGATTTCTTTCAGATAGTATACGATGTTACAAATGCGCAAGCTGGGAGAACGCAGGGTGTGGTTATGACATATTACCGGATACGATTCCATCAGTGTACTGTTCTTCTGGTGAATGTACCAAGATTGAAGTAAGGTACAATTGGAAAACAGGTACCAATTTTAATTAGATATTGACAAAAAAAAACACGATTAGGTGCTATCGGACATGAAAAGTCCGAACATGAAATATAAACTATATGAACAATTTAATGTAAGCGCTCTCAAGACCTAATTCCGTGAATGACTTTTTTGAAATAAAAGTTTATATCAGCAATGTATCGGACGAGTTCGAAAATAAGCGCTTATTAATTATTTTTACAAGCATATTGTCCCTTGGAAAAGCTTATTCTATGGAAAAATGCATTGTATGCGCTCCTTCGACTACATTTTTTGTCAGATTTTTTAAAATTCGCATTAAAGGTCTTGGAACAATTCGATTTTCATCGCTGATCAACTATTTACTGCAGGAGTAATGTCCCTTAGAAATAGAAATTTTATGAAAAATTGCATTGTAATCAACTAATCAATCCAACGCCTTCATTTCTTGTAGGATAATTATAACGAAGTTTAAAATGACCCCTCCCCCCAAAAATAAATCACTAAAATATATATATTGGAGTTATTGCCTTTGAAAAGATACAATATGTGCATCGGCGGGGCGTTAGAACTGTGTTCTTATATCCTTATATAGATGATGTCGTGTAATAATGGTACTAGTATGTAAGGGGATATTGAATATCTAATATCCAGTACTTTAGTGCATATATGTTCACTCTTCCTTATTATCGTTTTGTAATAAATGTTTTGTTTCTATTTGCTAATTTTTCAGAGATCATACGTGGCTGCTCAACATACACAAGCGCAAAAGTATTCAAGTGTGATGATGACGATTACTGTAATAGCGGTACTTCAGTGAAAGCCGTTTGGAAAACATTCTTTATATCAATTTTGTGCAGCTTTTTCTTTTTGTTATAGACACGATAGAGTCAGATAAAAATATCCTGCAATAGTTTAAAGAGATTGACCTTTGATACGGGATATAACTAAAAAATCATGGAAACATTTGTGTCGTCAATTTATTTGAAGAGAGTTTTAAGTTTCAAAGATATATACATATTATTTTTAAATTTGATTCATACACTAGTAACCCGAATTTGGCTTGAACGGCCAAAAAGGTATTAATGACATTTAAAAAAGATTGATTATCATTAGATAACGATTGACAAAAATTAAAAATTGTTTTTAATTCATTTCAATCCATATCAAATTATTTTAATACCAGTCAAATAGATTCCCTTGCGGTCATTCAAGTTAGTTTCAGATGTGGTTAAGCTGTGTCAAACTAATTAGCCACGCCCCCGTTAAACCAAATCAAACTGATGTTAAATCCTTTTTTTTTACGTGTAAGTAAAGTTTGGTCTCTTACAAATACTTGGGGATTTTTTTTTAAATGGAAAGAGAATGCGAATGAGAAGGTCCTCATTGCACTCATAGGCTCGAGCCTAGAAGTGAAAGATGTTTTAAAAACAATTCAATAGAATATAAATAGATTTAAACAAATTTGTGATGAAAAATTATCACTTAAATTTCTGTTAAATTTGTCATTATTATATGCATTGAATTGCTGTATTCCTGTATATTTACCTTTTCTTTTTTTTTGTACTCGTTATTTAAATAGAGACACATGTGTCTAAGAACAGTAATTATTTATTGTTGACATAGAAAAAATCGATACATCTTACATTTTCGGTAACAAAAGCTATAATTATACCGACATTTAAAATAGTTTGTATATAAATCAAGTTTGTGTTAAATAATAAAATTGATATAGATAATGTTGACACTAGTTGAATTCATTGTGTAAACAGTTTAGTAGTGTGCAAAATTGTAAATTATAGATAAACAGCTCAATGAACAATTCAAACTGTGTAAAATTATAATACTGATCACTGGTACAAAACGTGCGTTCATTGTCGAAAAGAAGCAAATGTCAAACGAAAAATTGAAGCGTGGTTACGATTGTGTTACGTGATTGCTGCCTGCACGTAAAAGAGTTTTTGGCTTATTCTGTGAATATATAAGATAAATTTCAATCTGCAATAATGATGGCTTGGTTAAAAGACCTTGACTGGCTATAAAGACCTCGCACGGTCGGCCCTAGCTTACACCCAATGGGGGCTTTTAAATAATGTGTTTTACATTAAGTTTGTGGAATTAAATACAATTATGCAGACCAAAAGTTACTATAAATATTATAAAACAAGAATAGAAATTAATCCTTTCCGCATTGCTGCTGTAGTCTTATTTTATTAACTATATTTTAGGGGTAACTTGAAAAAAAATTGATTGACTGATTTAAATAAAATATTTCATCTAGGTGCTCTCGTTGAAGTCCGCGTGGGTACATAATCAAATAAATTTCATTGGTTGGAACGTTTGAAAACTTTCAATCCAGGTGTTCTCATTGAAGTCCGCGTTCAAGTTTCAATTGGATACACAATATTGAAATTTTTTCAATCCGAGTTTATCTACGAATCGATGTCCACGTTAATATATAGAAAAACAACACTTTTATGATGCTTCCAACATAACGAAACTGCCTTTTTCGCAAATCATAATACACCAGTTTCACATTTAACTGCGCATGTCTAATCTAATTAGCCAAACTATGAAATCACGCGATAATTACCGAGAGTTCATCAACTGGGGGCTAACGGTTGATGAGCAGTGACCATGCAGACTTGGAAAAAACAATCATCTGATCATGGAAGTATTATATTGACAGGAACTCCAACGAAAAATTAGCACATTCGCATCCCACTGATTTCTTTAGGAAAATAAAAGGTTCCGACTCAGTTTTTGAAGTACGTGATAACTTCTTTGTGGGGTATCTGCGATGCCGCCTTCGCCTGTATAGTTTACAGAAACTGATCTTATCACGTGATCTGTTATCGAAGGTCTTATCTACCTACCAATGTAAATTAACACGGAAACTCCCGTGGCTAATTGCGAATCGCTACATGAATAACGACACCTGTTTCTGTTCAATAATTAAAGACTACAGCTGAAACAATCTAAAAAATCGGTCCATATTTAACAGAATGACAACAGAAAGTTAACTGTATTCGGAAAGAAGGTAATATTATTTTTAGTTTTGTTTGATATGTTTTTATCACTGGAACTAGGAAATCGGGAAATATCCGGTTATGAAAATTACATGACTCTGAAGTAGAGTGTTTGCAGAAAATAATGTGATGCGCGTGTAGTGTGCCGGATGGTGCCGGATAACTCAAATTTTAAGTTAAAGATTGAAAACTTTAATCGAGTGTAACACAAATATTTATGGTTTTCTCTATCGTAAAATATCGTAAAATGTAATTTAACATATTTATAGAAAATGTTTTAAACACTAAGAGAAGTGGATAATTATACGCGCGTGATGGCCTCTTCATATAGCATGTATCAGGTTATAACACCGATTACATGTACACCTTTTGAATAAATTCAAAAGTTTAAAACAACCTTCAACCTAGTCCGAGATTGCTCTGACGTCTGACGGACTTGTTTTGGGAAATAATGGCTTAATTTTAAATATTTCGATGCATTTAAAGAACTATCATAATGCTGGGTCCTAAGCAGTATATTCTTAAAATTTTATCATTAGAATTAACCAGTTTAGAATTAAATGTATTTGTAAAGGCTTAACATATCTGAAACATCTTGCAGCGTTTGTTTAGAAATTTATAATATTTTGTTTTTGTTGAAATGCATGAAATATTTGACATCGGACTTTCAGTAACTAATGCGACAAGATATTTGTCAAAGTTAGCAGTAAACCTCAATTATACATGCAGATTACAACTCATGATGTGTTTCCTTACAAAAGAAATTTATTAGAATTCAATATAAAAATTAGAAGATGTGATATGATTGCCAATGAGACTACTCTCCACCAGAGACCAAATGACATAGAAGTTTACAACTATAGGTCACCGTACAGCCTTTGTCTTTTCTATTGAACAAGTTTCAGATTTACAAAAGCAATAAAACTCTTCAATGTCTTCACCGATAATTTTTTCAAATTCTTCATCATCAAAATCGTGCACGTCCATACTGATTAGTGAAATATTTGTAAGTGACGATAGTTTATTAACATAGAAAACCTAGTAAAAAACTGTCAACTGCCAAATATTGGCATGGTCGTTAAATGTCATATCCTTGACATTTATGTATACATCCGGTTACTTCGGTAAATTCCGTAATTACGAGTATCCCGAAAACGTTGTTGAACCCATGCATCGATACGACTAATTGAAAGATGTCAAGTTAATTAACAGATACTTAACGAATTTGCGGCATCGCACTATAAACGTTTGAAATCGGTTTGTTGGAGTTCCTGTCAATATAATACTTCCATGATCTGATTAAGTGTTTGCGTTTACATGTCCATGAGCATCATTTGAATCAAAATATAAAAAAAATATATAGACGAGACAACTTTATTAACAATGACACATTAAAAGATTTTAAAACGGACTACTGCTGTTTTGTTGGTTGCAGTAATATACGATCTGATATGCCGCCTGGTTTAATTGTACCTTTAATTGTCACGAATTCACACTGAGGTCGTTCACTTAACGGGAAGAATAAATTAGATAAGTAAGCGGGGCTCACTTCATATACATAGAATTAGGTCATAAATTAAGAAGTCAATTGACACCTTAGCCATGTGGAATCCTCATTTTACCTTGTACAATCTTACCAGGTGACAATTGATAAAAACGTATCCTATTCTATACATACAGTTACTGAAAAAGGGCGCCCATTTGATTAGTTTATTCAACTTTCGTACACAAATATTTCCTGCATTTTGTGTTGCAGATTATTCTTTTCCATCCTGCCTTCGGGTCATAATTATTTATTTTTAACTCCTACTAGAATATTAATTTTCTACCCACCCCCCCCCCCCCTGTAAATCAAATGATCATCCCCTAATGCAGATATTTAAAATGTTAACCCTGGTACCTAATTTACACTGTGATATCATGGCCAGTACGGTTAATGCCACTAGGAATATTTTAATAATTTAGGAGGAGGGTCATTCAGCAGTTTGATATTATTTTATGGTAAAGCGTGGTAAATACAGGATATTCAATTACTTTTAATGGCATAAGAGCTATCTTCTCACATTTTATTTTGAAATTTTATCATTCATTTTACCTTCAAATATTCATATAATGATACCTTAGAAATTTTCTCTGTATAATCCATACAAAATGTTTCATTTTTTCACAGCATGTAGCTTGAAAACAAACTCGGTGACCTATCATTGTGTTTTTCATATTTTTAACATATCACAATATATACTACATCTTCGACAAAGGATATAAGGAAAAATTCTATCAATTTTCGTTTATACTTCCATACTACCATTAGTGGAAATTTCGATTATTTAGTAGTGCTTGTAACTTGACAATGTCCTTGTACCCATAAAAATTCACACAAAAGTCACCATAAAAGTAACCTGTTTTTGGTTAAAAGAAAATTAAAAGTTTGAGACTATGATACTAAACATATATGTAGGCCGCAACCCTTTACATGCATGTCGCAAGAAGATGTAAAAAAATATTTAAGAAAAACTGGGAATTGATACTGGAACAGAACTGAAATTAGATGTATTTCTGATGTTTAAGTTGTTTTCTTTTTATCAAAATATTTTTCTCTTTTCACGAAAAATCAAACTGACATACAGCAATGAACATATCGCAGTAAGCAAAAGAAAGCAATTACAAGATTAATACTTTTTAAACCCATAAACACAACTGTTAGGAACTCTTTATAGCAACAAGATGACTTATTTTCTCGTTTGAATTGTTTTGTGTCGTGACCTTTTAGAGCTTACTATTCGGTATAGAGTTTCTCATTGTCGAGGACTGTATGGTGACATATGGTTGCTTTCATCTGTCATTTGGCTCTGGTGGATATTTTTTTATTTTAAATTTATGTTATTCTCTGTATAAACGGTCAAACTATTTATTCTGAATATTTATTAATAAATCGTAAAATTGAATAATCTCCAGCATACACCACGAGAGAGAGAAGTGTATTATCGGTTGATTTATTATTGTGTTGCTAAATATCAGAGTCAATTTGATGTAGCCCCCTGTCACGTATGATATCGTTAATTATCGCGGGATTTAAACTCAAACGCGCATAAGATTTCGAGATCAGCGTTGATAAGTCGCTTATGTGAAACTGGTCTATTACTTTCCAATACTGATGAACAATATTACTACTAGAATATATTAGAATAAAATACAAGCATACAAAAGCCTGTTGTATTCGTCACAAATATATGGTCGATTTTCAGTGCACTATACTTATATGACAATAAAGACTTATTTACTTATGCTAAATAGCATTAATATTAGTCAAAGTCTAAACCAGTATCATAAAAAAGGAATAGGTAGCCTGAAATAATTGACTTTGAGTACTCAATCCTTGCCATGGTCGTTCTGTGCTATGATACACATGATACATGCAGTACAATCGGTGAATACAAGTACCAGTAATATTTGATAACTAAATAAGCAATCATACAACTTGTCATACATGCATCTTTTTTTTCAACGAAAATACTTAACTTAAGTAGCATTATATACAACCCTCATCAGTATCAAATACATCGATATATATATACATATATTTACACACAAAATTACACACATATATAAACACCCTTACACACACACACACCCAGACACACACATACACCCACACAAACACAAGAACGCACCGATATATATATATATATATATACATATATATATATATATATA